CCACCTACAACTGGCCATTCATCTATCTCAGTCCTGGCTCTTAATTTAAACATGGATTCCAAGTATAGCATTTACCAAGTGTCACCATTGTTAAATCATTTTGTATTATAACTTGCGTAATCCCTTGACAATGATATCACACAGACACTATTTCAGACAGAATTACTCCCTCTTTATTAAAGATATCAACAAGAATGTAATATTGACCATAGAGGATGGAATGGACAGAGTGGAAATTATTCCCTCTTGCCTCAACTGCCGCTGCCAAGCTTTATTGTCACCAAACTGCTCTAGGTCAGGTCACAGGCTATTCCACTCATTGCTAAAGGAATTGCTAAACCTAGTAAGAAACAATTACAGCTGACAAGGCTTTCTAACATAATTAAAACTGACCGGGCTTAACTCCCAAATAACACAATAACAAGTTTATATATAGTGCATTAACTACGATCATAGGAAGGGCCTTACATTTGGCAAAATTCTCTTATACATGACATCATACATTTAAAGAAGTAGAAAGCATGTAGGAAGGTAACTAGAAATACAAGTATGATTGGTCCAATATGCCCACTCTATCCTGCCAAAGTATGGTCTGCACAATGAGGCTAAAACCGGAAATAAGGAGTGGCCAAGAAGATGCCAAACTAAGACGTAACAAGGGACCACTTTACTTCTTGAGTATAGCATAACCTCGCCATCTACATCCAGCCCCTTGCTCCTCAAGGTACAAAAGGTTAAGCCCAGGGAAGATTCCTCCAAGCCTGGGGTTAGGCAAAGGCCTTCTCCAACCTGGCAATCTAACGCACATAAAATGTGCCTTGACCCCCCTGCCCCCAAGATATGGAGGCTGTGTACCGTATGATATGTGTAACCTGAAAGGGATTCCTCCAAACTGGACATTGGACAGAGTCTCTCCTCCAAAAAAGCTGGAAATAAGGACCATTCAAGGACCTCCTTTACATATACACCTGTTTGTATGGAATATGGTGCAGTACAGGGCCAAAAAGCAATGTGTCATTTAGGTGCACCACAACACAAACATCTGAACATAGATTGAAATAAGCCTGCAGTGGTTACCTCACGCTCTCGAGTTACGAGAGGGTAATCCCTGGAAAATATCCCGCAAGCATGAAATCAGCCTCATACCTCCCCTAACCTAACCTGCGGTACAAAGTGCATAAGGACCACCTTACTTCCTGTGCATAGCATTGGTACATGTACATGTTTGTAGAACACAGTAAGGCAATATGCGTCCAGTCAAGCCTGAGAACAATGCACTTTTTGCAGTGGGAAAAGAGGCAGAAGAGGAAACCGAGAGCGGCAACTCGTGCCTTCATGCCAGATCCCACACCCTTTACATATTCAAGCTGCGAGAGAGACCATCACTCGAGAGTGGGACTGTTCAGCCACGACTACTGCTAAAGATGTGACACAACCCTAGGCGCTGTTCCGTTGTCCAAACTGCAAGCAGCTTCATCTTGCCCCTTGGCAGGCTTCGTCCTTCTTTTTGAAAGCGGCTAGGTCAGAGCCAGAGTGGGGAAAACAGGTGGGTGATAACTGTTTGGGTAGGTATTCACTAGCAGACTCATCCCACATGTCTGTAGGGGAGGAGTCCACTGCATTGACTTTGGCACTGCTTACAGTAGAAATGCCTTGCAATGTGCCAAGTCGTTCTACAAGACATCTGTCAGGTAGCAGGAGGAGAAGGTAGAGGTAGATTTCCAATACGCATTCTTGTAGATGTCTGCAATGGAAACTCCATGAAGATAAGACCAGGACGCAGGAAAATGCTCTTCCATCATGGTCCCTGATGTAGCACTTGTTCTGTTCATCAGGGCTTGATGGCCCATCTAGGTTGGCAGATTTGATGGCCAAAACTGTTCAGTGGGTTACAGTGTTGCATCCGAGACCTTGATGTCCGAGACCGAGACCAAGGCATACGAGACCGAGACCAAGACCTACTCCTTCAAGACCAAGACCAGGACTTCGAGACCGAGACCACAACATCCGAGACAAAGACCAAGACCAACCATTAACTGATGTTTAGTTTTTAATACCAAAAGGTTAATAGGGACAAACATATGGCAGTACAATTAAGTACAAAGGAAATAAAATGAAAACATTAGCATAAACTCGCACACACAAATAGGTCAAATATTTGTTAAAGAATGCCCAGTTCTTTTATCAGTGATACTGCTCTACTTTTACCCTGGTCTGGTCATTTTCAACCCGAGTGTCCCAAATGATATGATGTGAACATTAAAACAAATATCCTTAGACTGTTTTTTGTAAGCAAAATACTGACAAACAAATATCCAAAAAAGATGTACCGTAATGAAACTACGAAAACAACACGTACCACATACATGTACAAGACGGAATGAAAGCACTTTCACATGTAAACACAATTCATAGCGTGCGCACACACAGAGACTGGTTCCCATCCCGGCCCTATGTTCAGCAGGAGACTACATAGGGAACGGGAACCAGTCTAGTGTGCAAATTCTGCTGCTCACAACCTCATCTCCATGGTGTCAACCAGCATGGCAACTCTGGATTGGAAATAAAGTAACAACTTGGGACAAGGCTGCATCATGCTACATTGACTAGTCTTCATTCCAGCATCGATTTCAATGTTTATTGTAAAAAATCTGAACATTACAGTATTGTATTTATATCAGTGGTTGATATAACCACTGATATGGTTGCGGTTGACAGGATCTAAAAGAATCAAAACAGAAGATAGTGTTGGAATTCGGAAACAAAACGGTAAATGAAAACTGGATGCTGCTACGGGATACTTTCACTAACTCCATCAAAATGCACATACCAAGAAAAATTGCTAAGGTAGGTAAAGATCTTCTTTAGGTAAATAAGGAGACGCAAGAGGATCTACAACAAAGCAAAAAGAACTGACAAACAAGAAGATTGGAGATTGTTTCAGAATTTTAAAGCTACATTAGACAGGAACTTAACAAGGCATAAGACACATTCATTAGAGGTATACTTAATATAGAAAATCTATGAGCAGCACCAAAACGTTTTTTTTGACAATGATCTTCAACCAATCACTGCAGACTAGTACCTTGCCATCAGAGTTGCTGACTTGAGTCATGTGACTTAGACTCAAGTCGGACTGAAGTCGCTATATTTGTGACCTTTGACTTGACTTGTAAATACCAGCTTTGTGACTTGACTTTGTGACTTGCGACTTGACTTGGACTGGCAAAAAATGACTTGTGGCTTGACTAGGAATTGCAAAAAACTACCCGTTACCAAACCCCTTATATATTTTTAATGAAGGTCTTCAGTTTACGCCTAACATGCGTAAAAAAGGACTTCGGGCTTGAGCGACTTCTACTTCATCCA